GCCTTTTGCGACGCGTCGGAAAAGGCATACGCGGGGGTGATATATTTGCGGGTAGAAAACAAGAAACTAGTTACATCACACCTGCTAGTAGCCAAAACAAAAGTAGCTCCGATTAAAAAGATTTCGATACCTCGTTTGGAGTTATACGGTGCAGTTTTGCTTGTAGATATGTTGAACTGTTTACGAAATGAGCTTCCATTTAAGGTCGAAAATACCTGCTGTTGGACAGACTCAACCATTGTCCTCTCGTGGCTGAAGAAGCAACCTGGCTCTTGGACGACCTTTGTTGCTAATCGAGTTGCAAAGGTTCAGGAAACCGTTGATTTTCGATATTGGAATCATGTCGAATCCAAAGACAATCCAGCAGATCTCGGTAGCAGAGGGGTATTTATATCCACAGGATTTGAAATCGAATGAGTTCTGGTGGTACGGTCCGTCTTGGCTTACCAAAGAAGAAGCGAATTGGCCATCATTGGATCAGGAAATCGAAGACACTACAGTGGAAGCAAAAAGGATAAACGCACATAGTACACTTGCATCGAACTTTGTTGAACCTTTGGAAAGATTTTCATCTCTTCCCCGTGCGTTACGCGTTTTATCTTACGTTTTCAGGTTCTACAACATGACTAATAAGCACACTCGAAGATTCCATTCTTATACATCTTTGGCCATTTCAGGAGAGGAGATATCCAAGATTCGTACTCGTCTTATTGTCTTGACTCAATCGAGGTATTTCGCTAGCGAATACAAGAATCTGTCGTCAAAGGTCCCGATTGATTCAAGGAGCAAGATTTTAACGTTGAACCCTTTTATTGATAGCAAAAGCGTTATGCGAGTCAATGGTCGCCTTCCGCAATTCTTTCTAACAACAAGAAATATCCAATACTTCTTCCGTATAGTTGCGAATTTTCCAAATTGCTAGTTAATTTTCCCCACATTATATCTCTTCATGGTTCTAATCAATTAGTTTTCCCCAAAGGCTAGGAATCTAATAAAGGCGGTTATAAACAAATGCAAAACTTGTGTTATCTACAAAGGGAAGGAGCAATCTCAAATCATGGCTGCTCTCCCAAAGGAACGAACCATTCTATCGAGGCCATTCGAAAATACTGCTGTCGATTTCGCTGGCCCATTCGACATTAAAACTTTCACGGGCCGAGCTTGTAAAGTAACCAAAGGATACGTATGCCATTTTTATGCTTTGCTACAAAAGCAATTCATCTGGAGGCCACAAGCGATCTGTCATCCGAAACTTTCCTGGGTGCATTCTCTCGATTTGTCTCTAGGCGAAGTTGCCCAAAAAACATTTTTTCTGATAACTTCTGAACTTCGTGGGTGCTTCAACCAGTCTAAAAAAGGACTTTCAAAAATTCCTCCTCTCATCGAAAGAGTCCGTGTGTAACCTGTACAATCAGCAGGAAGTATCTTGGAGCTTTATTCCTGCTGGCGCGCCCCACATCGGTGGATTATGGGAGGCCGGAGTTAAGAGCTTTAAGTTCCATTTTAGAAGGGCCGCGTCGTCCTATAAATATACGTTTCAAGAGTTTCAAACATTACTCTGCCGCATCGAAGCTTGCCTTAATTCAAGGCCGATCTCTCCTATCTCGAATGACTTTGCAGATTGTGCAGCGCTCACACCTGGTGCACCGCTTCTTTCGCCTATTGAGCCTTCCATCGAAACAAATCCAATCTCGTTGATTAATAGGTTGAAAGCCTTAAGCCAACAACTCTCAATTCGATGGAAGGAGGAGTATTTAAAGGAGCTTCATAAACGTTATAAGTGGAAGTTTCCTCAAACCGACATATCGGTTGATGACTTAGTAGTCGTGCGTCACGAACATCTTCCGCCTAATGAGTGGCGTTTGGGAGGACCATACCAAGGTCTATCAGGGTAACGATAAAAGAGTTCGGGTAGCAGACATTCGCACACAGAAGGGAATGATATCGCGCCCCATTGTTAAATTAGTCGTCTTACCACAGTAGATGACGTTCTCAATATCACCCTATTTCACACTTTTTCAGCTATAAATAATGGAAGTCGTAGAACTCTCGGAAGCAACCCACACCTCACGGTCGGACATACCATCATCTCCTCAGAGAGCAACGCATGCGGAGCAAAGACAAGTAGTTAGCATGTTGAAGTGCAGAGTTTGCCGCCAATCACACCCACTCCGTTTTTGCAAACGTTTTCTTAACGCAAATTATGAACAACGCCTGCGGTTAGTTCTTCTGCATAAATATTGTTCGCAGTGTCTGGCTTACTCCCACGCCACCAAAAAATGCAGTAGTTCTGGGTCGTGCGCACATTGTCATGAGCAACATCATACTCTGTTGCATTTCAATACACGCCTTGGCCCACGTCAACAACCGACGTCCCTTTTAACGCAACTATCGGGCATGGTCACCAATTTACCAACGTGCGCAGTATATGTGCACATCAGTCAACAAAGATTCCTTACCCGCGCTCTGCTCGACCCTTGCTCCCAGACAAGAAAGAATGCCGGTCGCTGCTGATCAAGAAGCTGCACGTATCCACGTTGCCTGTTGCAAATGTGGATATGTGTGAGCTCTTGATTAGCTCGTCAAACGACGCTGGCATTCGCTTCACAGTATATACAGTAGGCATATAACAAATGTTGACGAAAAATTTGGCATACCACCACGTGGTGGCAAATATTGTACAAGTAATGAATATCACTTTTTTAGGTGATTTCGGTTCAAAAACGTTCCGCGCAAAAATGGATTTCTAAAAAAAGTCAGATTTTTTTTTAATATTTTTATTTTTACATTTTTGTCAATTGTTATATGAAATAAGTTTTAAGTTTAAAGTATGTGATGATTTACACAATGGTAAAATGTCTTGCACAATTTTAATTGCACGCTCTGCGCAGATGTTACTTCGCTGAACTTCCTCAATAGCTGATGGTTTATTTACCCAATGTCTGAGAAAACATTCATTTGCTTTTGTGAAGCCGGCCAGTGATTTCTGTAGTGTGGCGGAATTATTTTTGTTGAAAGTATGATCGGAAAACCAGATTTCGCTCCAAGCACCGCACACAAACTTACAAATAGGATATAATTTACTGTGTTATTATTATTTGACTATGCGAGTTCTTGAATAAATTGCTTTTTCTTTTTTAAATTTTTTAATATTGAATCAGAATTTTCTGAAGAAAAATTAGTTTGGGGTGGGTGGGGCACTTCCCTTAGGTCCATTAAAAGGCGTTTGGAATAATAGGAAGATTATTAGTTAAATAAATATCTATTATTATGAAGAAAAACGTGTACACTGTACAAAACTTTTTTTGTTTTTTTCAGCAGTTCTGATAAAAAAGTAATTTCGTTTTGCGCGGAAACTTTTTTGCAATTTCGCAAAAAAAAAATAATGGTCGGCGAAAATCCTCGGACTGATCCCTCCGCGAGGGTGCCGGCTGGAAATGGGCACTATAGAGCAATCCCGTGCGATGTCGGGAGGGTGTCCAGCTAAGATCAGGGATCAGTGCTGTGTGCTTATGCGTTTTCATCGCTATGCCATACGGAAATGGTCTTTGATCGTGGTCTGGAGGTAGGGGCTGGATCAAGGCGTTACGCGTACCGTACTGAGGATCAGCCTGGCTGGGAGCCCCTAAATAGCCCAGTCGCTAACGGAGCCCTCTGGGAACCAGGCCGCACCCGGTTGCATTCGATGGCCTTACCCTGGGTACTGCGGATCTCTGCCTGGGGCCGACGAACCCTTTCTCCGCAACTCGTGGGAATATGAGCGAATTAAAGAACAAACCAAAATCAACAACAACGGAAATTGAGACCGGCACTCATAAAAAGTCGGAAGGGCAGTTGCCCAGACACCATGGGGCCCATGCGATGCAGGGTCCCTCTACTAGCCACGACGTGGCCAGCACTAGTGGGGTACGTAAGCCTCTGGCGATGCCGGGGTCAGGCGTATCCACAAAAGCGGAAAGGAAGAGGGTGGGGGAACCGAAACGGGATTTTCCCGGCACCAGTGAAGGCAAACCTGGCTTGCAGCTTGCAGCCCCAGGGGGCGCCAGAGCTGATGCGCGGGCCCCGCCTCCCCCTACTCCTACGGCATTTACAAGGCCTGATGACAGGCCACCACCAAGCGCAGCCATTGCCAAGCACAGGAAGGCTGCCATGAGGATCTTGAAGAGATCCGCATTAACCCCGGACCTATGTAGCAGGGCGCTGCCCTGTCACGTGGAAGAGATCCGGTCGGAGATAGCGTGGGCAATGACGATAGTGCCCGACTATCAGCTGCCGGTGCTCGGAGAGCCACCAGCTGCGGAAAAGCGCAATAGATCGATGGAGGTTGCGCAAAATAAGTCGAAAAGAGCCAGGACGCAAGGCCCCACCTTTGCTGAGGTAGCCAAAAATCGGATCCTCCTGGGTGTGCTCGATGAGAACCAGGAAGACGAATTGGCACTGAGAGCTCATTGGAAATGGGTTAAAGCGGAATTGGCGAACATCTGCGTCAGCGTGCTTCGGGAGCACCCCGGACCACCTCCGATATGCCGGGACGCAGGTTGGTTCCAAGGTAACGTCAAGATCGTCGCGTGCGACGATGAAAGGTCGGCGGGCATGTACAAGAAGGCGATGGCCATGCTGGGAGAGGTCTACCCCGGAGCGATGCTACGGGCTGTGGACTTCAAGGACATCCCATCCAGGCCCAGAGCAAGGGCATGGATACCGGCCAAACCGACCGAACCAGAGAGAGTGCTTGAGATTATAAGGCTCTTTAATCCCGAGTTACCCTCTCACAATTGGAAGGTGGTGCGGCTAGAGCACAGCACAAAGGCGACTCGTCAGGCGGTCCTTTTGCTAAATAAGGAGTCGTTGCCACTCCTCGAAAAGACTGGGGGCGTCATCAATTACGGTTTCGACACCGCAAAGATAAGGGTGTACACGAACGCGTCCTCCAGATTAATCTCCACTACAGCAAAGCAGCGTCGGCTGCACTGCTGCTCCAGCTCTCCAAGGGGGGCAGCAGACATCGCCCTCATCCAGGAGCCTTGGGTGATAGGGCATGGAATATGCGGGCTGAAGTCGGCAGAGCACACTTTGATAAGTGGAGCTACCATAGGTAAACCAAGGGCCTGCATCCTTGTTAGTACCAAACTAAAAATATTGTTTCTTCCTCAGTTCAGTGACGAGGACACCACCACCATCAGTCTGGAGGCGAACGGACGACAAATAAGGCTTGCCTCGATGTATCTGGCACATGACAGGCCTGTTCCAACCCTACCGGTCGAACATTTAGTGGAGCGCTGGGACGGGGCCCTGATTCTAGGAGGTGATGCAAATGCACACCATAGCACATGGGGAAGTGGAGACATCAATGAACGGGGTGAGTCACTCTTTGAATTCATACTAAAATCTAACTTAGTTATAAGTAATAGGGGTAGCGAGCCTACCTTCATAACGAAGAGCAGAAGAGAGGTCCTGGATGTTACCCTCGTCTCAGAAGATGCGGAGGTCATGATCAGGAACTGGAGGGTGCTTGATGAGCATTCCTTCTCTGATCATCGCTTCATCCAATTCGACTTAGACGGGGTCCCGTCCAAGGTACCTGCCAAAAGAAATCTAAGGAAAGCCGACTGGCATAAGTACAGAAGAGAGCTTGACAAACGGCTCTCAAGAACCACACTAGCAATTCCAGGAAACTCTAGGGACCTAGACAGGCTGGCAAATCGCTTTACTGCGGCATGTGGCAAGGCTCTGGATCAGGCCTGCCCCATGGTAAAGCCGAGAGGCAAAAAGAAACCACCTTGGTGGAGTACAGAGATTGACGAGGCCCGCAAAAATTGTCGTAGAGCCTTCAATCTCGCAAAATCCTCGGGAGGCGATACGCAATGGGAAATCTATAAGTTAAACTTGAAAGATTACAAGAAACTACTAAGGAAGAGCAAGAGATCCTCATGGAGGAACTTTTGCAGTGGTATGGAATCCGTATCAGAAGGTTCTAGGCTCAGGAAGGTTCTCTCTAGTTCACCTCGTATCGCCCCGGGATGCTTGCTAAGATCCGACGGAGCGTGGACGGAAACTGGGGAGGAATCCCTGGACCATCTTCTGAGCACGCACTTTCCAGGCGCCACCGAGCAGCCATTGTACGGGCCAATAAGAAATAGAGGTCAACCGGTTACGGTAGACCTCATCACCAAAGAAAAACTGATGTGGGCAATAGGGTCCTTCAAGCCTTACAAATCTGCGGGTCCAGATGGTGTTACACCGATTCAGCTACAGCAATCTATGGAGCTAAGCTCAAAATGGCTGTATGTTATTTTTAAGGGAGTCCTCACTCTCAACTACATTCCGGAGACCTGGCAAAGGTCAAAGGTTGTCTTCATTCCTAAAGCGGGAAAAACATCCCATACTCGCGCCAAGGATTTTAGACCTATCAGTCTATCATCTTTCCAGCTCAAGATATTGGAGCGACTGATTGAATCCTTTCTTAGGGAATCGGTTGCAGGCAAGCTTATGGCTTCGCAGCATGCCTATATGAAGGGGAAGTCCACCGAAACAGCGCTACACGAAATCGTGTCGCATATTGAGAAATCCCTTGCGATAAAGGAATACACCTTGATAGCATTCTTAGACATTTAGGGTGCTTTCAACAACATCACACCTGAAGCAATCACATCAGCTCTAACTGGTCTGGACATCGACTCACGGCTGGTGTCGCTTATACGACAGCTGCTAGTTGGCAGGGTCGTGCGGGCGGAACTGGCGGGCGTGTCGCTGGACAGATACGTTTGCAGGGGAACCCCGCAGGGTGGGGTCCTCTCCCCCCTTCTTTGGGTCATGGCGATTAATGAATTATTGCAGACCCTGGAAGGGGGGGGAGGCTCCAAGGTCATAGCGTATGCTGACGACCTTGCGGTGGTTGTGAGTGGAAAATTTCCACAAACTCTTTGTGACATTATGCAGGACAGACTAAGGTTAATCGAGAGATGGACCAAGGAAAAAGGTCTGGGTGTTAACCCAGAAAAAACGGACCTGGTGCTCTTTACCAGGAAGTACAAAATCCCCTCACTTCAGCTCCCTGCCATAGGCAATAAGATTCTGAAGCTAGGGGAGTCTGCAAAATATCTAGGCGTAGTCCTGGACAAAAAGCTTAACTGGGCGCAAAATATACAAGAGCGTGTTAAAAAAGCGACGGTAGCCCTCTACAGTTGCAAGGGGGCGATTGGGCGTAGCTGGGGGCTGTCCCCTAGCATCATGTATTGGTTATACACGGTAGTTGTTAGGCCGATTCTATTATATGGGGTCTTGGTATGGTGGCCAAGTCTCAACAGGAAATCTACAACTGAAGCACTCCAAAAGGTGCAAAGAACTGCGATGCTCTGCATCTGTGGGGCCCTGCGCACAACTCCATCGGAGGCTATGTGCGTGCTCCTCGATATTTTACCAATTGAAATTGTTGGAAAGCAATCAGCGGGGTGTGCCGCCTTGAGGTTGAGGGAACTACCAGGCTGGAGGGACACTCAGGAAGGCCACACCGCAATCTTAAAGGACATAAATATACCGGACACGGATTACTGTGCACCAAGGTTGAACTTCACAAAGAGGTATAGGATTTCCATTCCAGATAGAAAATTCTGGTCAGGAGGGGCTCCCGATGACAATGGATCACTCCACCTCTACACCGATGGCTCTAAGCTAGACGGCAAGGTAGGAGGGGGGGTCTTCTCGGCCCGACTGGGGCTGGAAATATGTTTTCGCTTACCCAACCACTGCAGCGTCTTTCAAGCTGAGGTCGCTGCCATACAGGAAGCGGTTGAACACCTACGTACAAGAGAAGTCATTTATAACGATATCTTCATCTACTCAGACAGTCAGGCCGCACTCAAAGCGCTCGACTCGGTCACATGCAGTTCAAAAACCGTAGCGGACTGTCGCAGATCTCTAAACGAGATGGCTGAGCAGTCTGCTCTTCACTTGGTATGGGTTCCGGGGCACCGGAACATACCAGGCAACGAAAAGGCGGACGAACTTGCAAGAGAGGGCACATCCGCTCCACTTTCGCAGGCCTGGAAGGGATTAGGCATGCCGCTCGCTACCTGCAAGCTCATTCTAAGGGATCTGTCTCTTAAACTAGCAAGGGAAAGGTGGGATAGCCTCACCACTTGCAACAACACGAAGCTTACATGGCCTAAATGGGACAAAAAGCGGTCGAAGGATCTCCTCATGCTGAGCAAAGGAGACCTAGCCGCAGCTGTGGGTCTGCTAACAGGCCATGTTGCTATCGGGGGGCACGCGGAGAGGTTAGGGATCCCCCATAACGACTTCTGCAGAAGCTGCAGAAATGAGGAAGAGCCAGAAACCTTGCGGCACCTGTTATGCGAGTGCCCCGCACTTTGTAGAAGAAGACAAAAGTTCATGGGTTCAGGATTCTTTGAGGACCTAACCGACATAGCCGAAGTAGGCATACGGCAACTTCTGGGTTTCGCAAAATCCACACGATGGTTTGAGTAGGAGGGTTCTAACGATCCGCGTGGTATCACAACGGGCCCACAACCTAGGGCCTATGTGTGCTAGTGGGGTCACTGGCAGCCACTTTAACCTAACCTAACCTAACCTACTCTTTTATGCTCTATTCGACTATGGTATGCCGTTTTTCGTATTTGCAAAAATTGTAAAAAGTTATATGCCTAATATACAGTAATAAACCTTTTCGCAGTTTTTCACCATTTGGTCCCCGAGGAGTACTTTTGGGTTGTGTGCAGCGTTTTCGTTATGCGCGCACGGCAACACTTACTGTGGGGAATTTCGCCTCATGATTAGAAAAGTTCTTTTCGAGGATAAAATATACATAATTATGTGTTATTTATGAACAAAATGCAGGTTAAGTATAATATTCATGATTTATCTTGGACCAACACATATAATATTCAACTTTAATGTATGCTGATATTCATGCTTAATGAAGAATAATATGTATTAAGTTCATAATTAACGCTTGTGTTTTATAAACTGGAAAACTCAAATAGTAATTATAGCACTGAATGGAGTTTTCTTAAATGTAAGTTTAAAATTAAGAAACAAGTCCATTATAAGATTATATTTTTATGAAGAACGTACATTTTGTGAAATTATGAAGCAAAACTCTAAATTTCCGAATATATGTAAGTCTTTATTAAAAAAAAACAAGGTTTGTATAGTTATATAGACCCCAATGCCTGCCAGCGCATCCGCCCAGATAGTTCATTAAGCACACCCAAGTTCGATTGATCTACAAGTTATAAGCGTTTTCAGCATTTAGCAGTTCATTATCATGTACGGTGTAATATAACAAGTTATACACTGAACTATGATAATCTGTACTAGCATCTATAATAATAGACAATAATTTGCAACATTTTTACACTTTTGCAATTATTTTCGGTCATTATTACACAGTCATGACTTGTGCCACTCTGCCATAGTACGGTTGTTGCTCCCTTTCATACCACAGTCATTTTGTATACAACTCTGAATGAACAAAATGCATACTCCTTCTCATTATCAACCCTGATCAGATTTTACTCCCGAGGAGTACTCAAAAAGGTTTATTACTGTATATACTGTGATTCGCTTTACTCTGACTGCCAAGGTACTATCGGAAATTGGGCTGAGGACTCCAGCACGTCACTTGAATTCGCTCGTGGTTGAAAAATTCACCAATCTGAGATTGGCCGATCCAAATTTCCATACGCCCGCCGCAGTTGCTCTAGTGTTTGTAGGGGAGATCTACCACAAAATAATGAGGACGGAGGTTATTTCTTACCCCGGATGCCCTTTAAGGCACACGCCCCCTCATGGGCTACCTTTTTTTATATACCAATACATATATTTTATTGCTTAGGATTTACTTGAATGTAGATACTTGAAGAAGAATTTGCACCTATACAACCAAGGTACATTTAGATATATATATGTACATACATAAGAAATGAAGCTCAACAATTTTATTTGCACGCACAACTGAACTCCTTAGAAGTTTATCTTGTAATATGAAAATACTATGAATTATATGTATTTAATATTTGAATTTAACCTTTCTTTATCTTTACGTTTTTTTTTTTGCAATCCCTTAGCATTGCAAGGCTGGCGGCAATGTTGAAGCCAAAAGCCTTCAATGTTTGGGAACCACTGGCAGTTTCCTACACAGTCGTCAGCTACAAAGCTGCACTGCTGCCGGAAAACTACCGGTGGCTTTCTTTCGAACTTGGCTAGTATTTAATGCCGGTTCCGTTTAAACTGGGGTCTTATTCTTGTCAGACAGCAGTCAGCGGACCGGAGTCATCGTTAAAAGAGGTAAACATTCGTTTATAATACGCTTACCTACAAGCAAATAGATACCTTATCATATACCTAGATTGTCATCTTGAATTTGAGAACAAATATACATACATATTTCTTATTTTTGCTAATACAATTGTTTTTCTCACTTTTCCTTGTGGTTTCTCAACCTTGTTGCGAGTTCGCACCAGCAATCATATAATTTCGTCCCAAACACTTGGTATCCAGAGATTTTCGTCCTCACTGATTTCGAAATTGATATTATAATTTCAAAAATCCAAAATGACGGATCAAATATGGCGTCCAGAACAATAGGCGTTCTTACCTTTA